ATTTTTTTTATTTACTTTTATGGTTACTATCTATATACGCGACTCAATGACAAATAAACATTATAAATGAATGTTTTTGGTATTATGCCTGAATAAGTAATTCGAATATTCACGCCATTACTTTCGCCGGGGACTGTACACTTTCTAACTACATCCCAGTTTGTGCCACAAGACACTAATTCCATTTTTTCAGCTTTCATAATATCTATTAATTGTGATCTGACCTCTTGAGCCTTACTTACGCATTGCTTTTGAATGTATAAAATGGTTTACACACCATCCATCTTGAAATCTAAATTATTATTATTATCATCATCATCATTATTACTACTATTATTAATGATATGTATATATTTGGACACATACTCATTAGATTTCCATTGTGTATAAACATGTAGTAAAGTCAAATGATCACTTTCTGGTACAAAAAATTTTTCTCTAGCAGCATCACTATGCTCTACTCTTTCCTTTGGTCAATAAAATACTGAAGGAACAGAAAGCATAAATACAATAGCCTACAAACATACATTCATAAATGTATAAATGTTAATGGTATACATAATAAAATTAATAATTCAATAATAAATCATACCAAAATTTCTGCAGTACAGCCTAACTCTTGAGATACAATTAACATCTTGGACAATGAAGGATCCAATGGAAATTCCACCATTCTACGCCCAAGTGGTGTTAATTCTCCTGTATTATCTAATGCACCCAAGATCCATAATTGATACATTGAATTCAAAATATTGTCCTATAAATAAAATATTAATTAATAATAAATAATATACATTTATTATTATAGCAATAAAATAGTATTTTACCTGTGGAGGAGGATCCATAAAATCAAAATCTAATAAATTTTTAACACCCAAAGATTTAAGAAGTAATACCACATTTGCTAAATTGGTTCGCTGAATTTCAGGTATTGTATTAATAAACATTTCATGATGATAAGCTTGTTCTGTATAGAGACGATAACAAGTTCCTGCACCTGTACGTCCAGCACGTCCAGATCTTTGATTTGCATTTGCTTGGCTGATTGGTGTTATTTGCAGTGAATCCATACCAATCTTGGGGTTAAAAACTTTTAATTTGTTATATCCCGTATCAATCACATACATAATACCATCAACTAATATTAAAATTTTAAAAAATAATAATGACAGCTAAGTAACCATAATTTATAATATCAATTCTATAAAACCACATTTTAAAAATATACCTGTAAGTGAGGTTTCTGCAATGTTTGTTGCGACAATCACTTTACGTGCATTATCTGATGTCTTTTCAAAAATTCTAGCTTGTAAATCAGCAGGTAATTGTGAATAAATTGGTAGAACTGCCAATGGTGGTGGATTATCCAATTGTTGAAGTCGTTCTATAAAAATAGAATTTAAGGAATTAATTCCATTCAAATACAAATATGTATATTGAAAAGAACAAGAAACCTACCTGAAATAACTTGACATGTTATTTCTATATCCTCTTGACCAGTCATAAACACCAAAATATCACCAGCTGGGCGACTTAAATGAATTTCTAAAACTTGTTTTACAGCACTGTCAACATAATCCTCGCATGGAGTTTTACTAAACATAGTATCAACTGGAAAAGTACGGCCTGGAATTGTAAATATAGCACAATTTCCAAAAAATGCAGCAAACTAATGAAAAAATATATGTGAATATACATATATTAATTTGTTAGAAATAAATTTTTTTTGAAGGAAAGTAAATTTAGTAAAATATATAAATATAAAATAACCTTTTCTGTATTCATAGTTGCTGAAGTTACAATTAATTTGAGGTCCCTTCTACGTGTAATCACTTAAAAACATATAATATAAATAAATTTTTTCCAACATACTGTAATAAATTTTTTTAATGATAAAAAAATGCCAAAAAATACCTTGTCTTAATAAACCCATTAAAACATCAGTCTGTAATGAACATTCATGAGCTTTGTCCATTATAACAGTACTATAATGATCAAGATCTGGTTCTTTAAGTGATTCACGAAGCATTCCACCATCAGTCATATCTTTTAAAAGAAAAGAAAACCCCCATTTATGGTCAATTTTTAATCAAAATAAACAACAAAAAAAAATTTATAGATTAATTTTGACTTGTACATTTTATCAGAGTGCTTTCAGAAGTACAATCTTCAAATCAAATTGCATAGCCCACTGTTGTTCCAAGCTTACACTAAATAAATTAGAAATAAAACATCTTAGCAGATTTATTTACCAATTACCAATAGTCAATAATGAAGTAAAATAATATTAAAAAATTTCATTTACATCCATTTCTTCGCTAACACGCTTTGCAACTGACATTGCAGCAACACGTCGAGGTTGTGTACACCCAATAATTCCATACTTGCTGTAACCATCTTCATGAAGATATTGTGTAAGCTGCGTGGTTTTACCTGAACCTGTTTCATCAACAACAATAATAACTATATAATAAATAAATGAATTTAGCACTGTGTAGATATACATATAGAAATCATATAAATAAATAAATTAATAGTAACATACCTTGATTATCTCTAATAATTTTTAAAAGGTCTTCATGAACTACAAAAGCTGGTAAAAATTCTCTTTGTTCACGTAAAGTTTTTGATCTTGCAAAATTACTTACCGCTTCAGAT